GCCCCATGTCGGGAGATGCCAGAACAGACACACTTAGGCTTGGCGAAAACTGATGAGGCGAACCGCGAGCATCTTAATGCAATGACAGGTTACAGCAATCGTACAGAATCATTGAGGCCAATGACAGAAACAACAGCGTTTTGGGGTACTTTGGGCTGGCCTTCTTTGGCAGGTACACAAGGGTGATCAGCCCTTGCTTCCCATGTCACTGGTAGCTTCGTTGGACACAGTCCCAGTGACATGCTGTGTCCCCCTGCCGTCCGTTGAAATGAAATACTTGATGCACCATGTTCAGGTGTGCGCACACACACACACCTAATCACACACAACGCTCTGGGAGCTACACTGTCGGAATGAAAGCAAGAAAGAGTGGATCCACATAGGTGAGTATGCAACTGTAGAGCAAGTAGATGACCTGTCAAGTCATGCTCGGCCATGCGCGCGATACACGATACACGCCATGAGAGCTGGCAGAGGCCAGGACGACAAACATCAGCGATGGCTTGAGCTTGCTGAGCATGCTGAGACAACACCTCACCAAGTGCAAACACGCACCCATCTGCTCCTGCAGCCCGATCCCATGAAACGGTGAAAAAACTGTGCTGCAAGTTCTGCGGCCCGGAGCGCACAAGTAGCTGGATACAACATTGAACCAACGCGCTCTCAGATTCCAAATCATGTACCCTCATGTAGAGGAGAGCCTCAAGCACCAGAGAATATCAACACTCCATTGGCATGTGACGGGGATGCACATGAACACCATGGAGACCATAAGGCGAGAGCAATGTTCCACATACCACAATAAAAGAAGAAGATTGCCATTGCCTGAGTGCACAAGCACACGAAGCTAAGTCTAAGTCCTTCCCGAGCTGCTACATAAGTTTACTCAGCCAACGAGACCGGGAACTTGGACACGCTGGCATCCAAATCGCATCCTTCCAATTCCGAACTCCCGTGGTAACCCCTGTCAAACATACCACTTTTCTGTTCTGGGTCCAGGATAAGGGGCAGTTTTAGAAAACGAAATGTGATCAACTAACTGGAGCTTGACTCCCCTGCCGAAGTGATCCTGGGCCTTAGCAGAGACGACATTCGACATTTGTTTCACGCGCCGTGGGACCGTGACCAAGGCATAGAGCGAGAACGCCAGAGCATGCAAAGTTCCGCCAGGTCCCGATAGGGTATAACCCCTGAAGCTCCGGGCTCCGAGCAGCCTACAGTGAAGCCATCCGTCGCAGCAGTTCTGCGACGGAGCAAAGGAGCGCCAGGCCCGCCTGAGACTGCAACGGACGAAGACAGGCCTGAATCAACGAGGTTTGGCACACGAAGAGCTCTCAGTTCCCAAGCCTGTGTCTCCTCCTTCTGCCAAAGACTCTGTGAACTCCGCCAACAGGGCTCTCCCATCCCAGTTGATAGCCGATTCGGACTGGCCAAGCCGGCAGAGAATCAGCCCTGCGATTTCCGTCTGCAGAGTGAGAGCGAAGAACTGGACCAGCTGCTGTCTCAGAAAGTTTGGCTCTGCACGATGCAGTCACTGGCCCCAGTCGGTGCAAGCTGAGAACCACTGCTTAAGGCTTAAGGCGTTGTAACATGTTGCAACCATACTTCGCTTTTGGAAGGCTTCGAACTGAACCCTCAACCGGGCACTGTTTAGCACAGGTGGCCCGTACTCCGTCCAACGCAACTGCATATTGCGCTCCAAGACTTGCCCTCTAAGCAGAAAAATAAAGCACAGGAGCACACGGACCAGTGCAACATACACATGCAATCTACCGCCTTGGTGCTGCCTTTCTGAAGTATTGAAAAGCTCGGACCACCCCCGAAATCAGCACATCTGCTGAAGTTCGTGCTAAGCTGCCGCAGAGATCAAACATAAGGCATTCGTTGAAAACATACGGAACATGTCCAGCGAGTGCTCAATGACATTCTATGACCAGAAACCAATGCGCCGACCCCCTCTGTCTTCGGAAGCCCCGTGCACACTTTGGTTGCTGGCGAAGGCACCGTCAAGATGAGTATCGATGCCACATCCACCACTGGAACTTTCCTCTCCATTTCCCGCCCGGTGCTCACCTCGATCACTTGTTCATCTTGCTCGCAGCTCCCCACATGCTTGCGCGGAACTCGCCGAGCAGAGCTAGGAACGGTGCGATAAAGAAGCTCTGCGAAGCTGTAAGGGGGAAATGGGTCCCCTGGAACCAATGCAAGACGGTTTCAATGACCACCAGGGGGCCCAGCATCCTAGCGGCATGCTTCAACACCGGCACTGCGCTGGCTGAATCATGCTGACACAAGCTCGAAACGTGCAACCAAGCATCAATGCTACGAAGCTTCGGAAGCGGTTGCTTGGAAGACTAGATGCCCTGGCAGCTATTCGGCTGTCACACAAGCTGCAAGAAGCTGTCCCTTCTGACATTCATGCTCTTTGGCCTCATCTCGCAAAATCCAGAAGCTCTGGCGGTACCAGGCCTTACTCCATTCAGGCAAAGCAACCTTCCGGAACACGTGCCAATGCAAGCCACTCAACAAAACGCAGCCAGCCTGTGTACACCAAGAAATGCGGTTGGATTCCAGCAGTCGGCCTGTTCGGAGTGCGTGCCCGCCACAATACCTGGCGTCACCAACAGCACAAGAACAGGAAAAGGATGCGGGCTCAAATGCATCACAGTACCACCACAAAGTGACACTGGCGATGAACATGACGAAGATGAACATGGCGAAAGTCAAGCAGATGGAGCAAAGGAAATGCAACGTTTCAAAGATGATAAAGGTGGAGATGACGATACTAAAGCCAAGATGAATCTGTAGATGACGGGGACAGCCAAAACGAAACAACAAAGGAAAAGCAGCAGCAGCAGCAGCAGCAGCAGCAGCAGCAGCAACAGCAACAGCAACAGCAGCAAGCTAAAGCAACAGAAACACCAACCACAAAATTGTTTATTGTCGACCGCAACAGCACCAGGTCCTCAGCGCAGGAGACATCAGGAAACGAGGCCCATGAAAGGGAGTTGACAAGCAACTCAACACCATATCGCCTTGAGTCTGTCTGCGGGCATGGTACGAAGCTGGATCGGCTCTTGCAGGGGCTCGTCCAATTCTTCCCAACGTGCGAAGCTGCAGCTGACCCACGCTGTCAGCACCTCAAGACACGGCTTTGCGACAAGCTGTTCTACACAACACGAAAGCCCAAGAAGGCATGCTCTCCAAAATGCACGGCATTCTTCTCGATGTGCGATCCAAGTCTCGATGAAAGAGAAATGAGAGACTACCTGGTCTGACGAACTGCATGGACTTGTACAGTAACAAATAACATGCCCCTACAGGGCCACATGTGCACGCTGCCACCAAGTGACGATGAAGCAAGCGCAAAGGTATCGGAAAATGGAAACTGCCAGCAAGGCAAGACAGGACACTCGATGGTCTCAGGGAAACCGTGCGGCATGCAACGCCCCAAACATCGCAAGCAAACATCGGCTGCTCAACTGCACATTGCATCTGTGACGAACCCATCCTGTCTTCTTCTTCGGCTTTCTCAGGACAGGACTGCCATACTCCAGGTCCTGGCGCGGAAAGCTGCAATACTGATGCTTTGGTGATTCTGAGCCAACCATTGCTCAGCACATGCAGCTCCGTTCCCGTGAATGGGGGTGTTATTCATCTGGGTTTGGAGATGCAGGTTAAGTGGCGGCAGGCCAACGGCCAAGCGAGGAAAACTTGTCCAAGCAATGACATTCTGGCATTATCCTGGTGTGGCCGGGTTCCAGGCGCTTCTCGCCGAACACCGCTGCCTTTGACCAGATATCATCGGCTTGCACGGGCCCCTTAACCCAATAGCCACCCTGGCCTTCGAGTGGCATATGTCGTTCATTGGGTGGCCTGACCTGATCTGATTCGCAATGACGTGGCAAAGCTGCGAGCATGTTCAACACTTTACGTAGGTGGCTGCCTAATGGCTGGCATAGCTGCGCAGAGACACGACACAGGTGCTTCGTTGAGCGTTCGAAAACACACCAGTGATAACATACATCAGCACGGCGTTGTCCGTAACTTGATGGGCTCCCCTCTGCCAGCTAGCTTCGTCGACAGATTGCAAGCAAGGGTCCGCCTCGGCCTTCGTTTGTTCTACAAGAAGTCCTCTCATGTATATATGCATATATATATATATATCTCGGAAATCATTGCAGCTGCCACTTGCCAACCTCCACTCAACACACTAGTGCTGTGTGACGTGCCCGAGCTGGTAACTTCAGGGACCCTTTGACGACGAATCGAAAGAAACATTCATAAACTGTCTTTGCAAGCCCCCACTTACTTTTCCACCAATCACAAACAAAGATCAAGTGATTCCGTCGAGCTCAAGCATGGGTTGGACAGCTTTTAAGTGCTTTTCGCTGATGGTCCGGAGGCTTCTCAGACGTGACTAGGCCCCGCACTTAGGAGAAGCCGTACTGCAGGCTCCAAAGGCGTTCGAGCCAAAGCACATCGGTAAGCCAGCCGGGCAGGGACGCGTGAGTATGTATGTTGTGGCCATGTTGCGTTTTTCGTCCGGAAGCACCGAACACAACACTTTCGCCTGAGTTGGTGGCAGCCCCGGCATGCAGCAAGAATATTTCACTTTTGAAATTGTCATGTCGCTATGGTGAAGCGCTTTGCTCAGCCTGCTCAGCCGCAAATAAAGCCGGATGAGCATGTCTCTGTCACATCATAGTCGAGAGACCTCGGAAACGCACCAGTACTTACGATGCCACTCTGAGCGGTTGACCAGGGTACAAATACTGGTGCTGAGTTTGACGCCTTAAGGTAGCGCTTTCGCAAAAGGCAAGATTCCACGCACGTGACACCCCACCTTGGCTGGGCACCACTTGCAAGTTCAGTCTTATTCGACCCCGGGGGGGGGGGGGGTTTGGTAAGCTTGCCAATCCAGACACTCCCGGCCACTGTTGTGAGCACCCGATATTCCCGATCTTTGTCTGGCTTGCTCTTCAGATAACACGGAGAGAATGCCGTAAACGACAGGCACCTGTGCATCGACGAAACGATGCATAAAACACGCTGACAAACAGCAAGAACTCGCGCCTTGTAGTCCAAGTTCAAACGCATAATGCCTTGCGTAACGGCTTCGCTGACGTACTCGAAGTGCATCGACTGCCCCTTGGTGAGACAACCAACGCAAATTATTCCATCAAACTTGCGAGACTCGAGCAGTACTTGCGCAGCGGCCGGTATCTCATAGGATCCCGCCACATATTCAATAGTAATGTCACGCACATTACAAGACTCAAGGGCGTCTCTGGCACCCATCACAAGGCTGCGGGTGACAACCGAGTTCCATCTGGCCGCCACGATTGCTATCCGCAGGCCGGATCCGTCAAAAGCTGGCAAATCCAACCCACGAATGCTGGGGATGCTGTCTGGATTTGGCGCATTTGGAAACTCCGGCGACATCTGCCTTCGGCGCATGATCTGATCAACTGTGATAACAGGAATGCCATGCTTCTGGCCGAATTCCACGGCTCCTTGCCATCGCAACATCGTCCCATCTTCATTGGTCAACTCGGTTAGACAAGCGACCGGCATTCGACCAGCAAGCCGACAAAGGTCGTATGCTGCCTCCGTGTGGCCAGGACGCCCCAATACTCCGTCTGCATGTGATGCAACCGGAAACATGTGGCCTGGTTTGGAAAACGCATCCGGGGTGTTGGAACGGTTGCAAAGCGCCCGTGCTGTGGCAGCCCTGTCTGCTGCCGATAAGCCGTTGGAGGACCCAGGCACGAATGTCGTCGACACATATGCACCGATGGAAAACCGATCGCTGTTCACTGTTGTTGCGGGATATAAGCCAAAATGTTGCAAGGCATCCTTATTGGAAACAACGTATACGATTCCTGATCCTTTTCGGATGGCAAAAGCCATCGCCTGAGTTGTTGCTTGGTCCGCAGAAAAAACCAAATCGCACTCATTCTTGCGATCAGCTCCGTCCGCAACAATCACGAAGTGTCCGGCTTGAAACGCATTGATGGACTCGTCGATGGATTCCTGGATGCAGACTGATTTTTTGCTACGAGATGTGGTTCCTGGAACATCATGGAAATACCTTGCAAAAGTTATTTTGGCCAGTGCCGGGCGTATTACGGTTTACTTGCACAAATGTGCTTGCTCTGCTCGCTACGGCGATATGTCATCCATGATGTCTCGTTTGTGCCTAACACGGATTGCAATGCATATGCCGGCATGTTAAACAAAACCTAAACACGAACGGGCACTGCCTCGCCTCGGCCTTGGACGACATGTTCACCCTTCGCTTGGCTTTACAATCCAGCTTCTCATGTTCGAGCCAACCAACCCAACAACGGTGCCATCATCGGCATGCACAACTACGTGCTGTGCTCAAGCATGCTTGCAAACCAAAGCCTGGCATACTGCTTCAACCCACACACCAGTGTGCAACACCCCTACCGATACAAGTCCCTTGCTCGTTGGAAGCACCGTTTTGCCCGACCGGCCCTGGATCAGCTTTGTTTCCAACTTCGTCAAGCTGAGGTGGCGCAGCTTGTGCCATCCCTGCCTCAGCTTTCGTTCTTCCAGATTGCCACGGCATGTGGTAAGGAAGTGACTTGCTCGGATGTGGCCGTCATCCCTTCATTGATGGGCGCACTGCTCGACACAGCAGTTTCTCAAGCACTGTTTGCTGTCGTGATTGACCGCTTAGAGTGATTCCTCGCGGGCGCTCCTGGGCACTGTGCTGCAGCTGGGGGGACGAAAACCGACTGCTCCTGGGCGCTGCGCGCGCAGCTGGAGGGTCGTTCTCGCAGCGCCCGTAGACGTAGCCGTAGCTGGCGTGCATGGTCGCAGTTACACTCCACGTCGGAGCAGAAAGCGAAGGAGTCGACGTGGACGGGCACCTGGTGTTCACTGCGGAGGCAGGCTGGGTTGAGATCGCGCCGCGTTGAGCGAGCTGCGAGCCCCGCAAGTTACTCGCCGTCCTCGACAGATCGTTAGTGGCGCCCGGGCCTGCGCTGCCCCACCCCTGTGCGGTTGGAACCCGCCGCGGACGACAGCCGCTGCGCCACTCTTTTCCTCACGGGCGACCCCCGTGCCGGCCGCCGGGGACCCGCCGTCCTCGCGCCCGGCGCCAGCCCGTGCACGCCCGGCACCGGTGTGGAGCGCGAAGCGGTCCGCAGCAGGCCTGATCCCAACCCGCGTCGCCGCCGCCCCACACACCGGGGGCACAGAGGAGGAGCCACACGAGGAGAGAGAGCTGCGCCTGCGCAGGCCGCACCCTCCGCTTCTCGGGGGTCCGGTTTCCTTGCCTGCGCTTTCGCCATTCACTGCCAGCAGCCCCTTCAGTGCCGGCTGCCCCCGTGCCTCACCGTTTGCCGCGCGGCCTTTGGTCAGCCCCTTCCTCACGCAGCCTGTGCCTCAGTCTCTGCCGCCGTGGTGGGGCACCCGGACGTTCACAACGAGTGAGTGAGTGCTCCGAGGCGGGACCCATCGGCGTGAGCCGGCCCGACATCCTGGTCCGAGCTGTGCTTGCCCCTGCGTGGTACCCCGCCTTTGCTGTCGACTCCCCACTTCGTGACAGCCTACCTGGTCGCTTCGGCCGCAGGCGCTCTTCGGGCTGCCGCGGCAGTGACAAAGGTAGCGTGCCGCTGCGGCCTCGGCATTGTGACCGGTGCGCACACCAGTGTAGCCCTTGCATTGCCTGGAGGTTGCAGCAACACCAATTCCTTCCCTCCTGCCGGGGCCTCAGTTGTGCCTTGTCCTGAGAGCAGGAAGCAACCACTGCTGCTTTACGTTTTTCGGATCTGGAGTGCTTCTAGCAAACAACCTCGTCCCCGCCTTTATCTGCGGCCGCTGGCGCTACAGACGGCGGCCGTGGCCGCAGGACTTTCTCCACTTCACCCGCTGACAGCTGGCACTAGCGGCCCCGGCCTCAGCTTTGCGGGATTTGGCCGCTTGCTAGTCAGTGGAGCGCGCCCAGTGCTGCTGCCCCTCAGGCCGGATCGCTGACGCCGGGCTGAACATTATAGCGTCACCGACTGTGCCGAAAGTTGTTGCGAAGAAACAAGGACCCCCCTCTTATAGCTTGTTTGCACGTGCTGCACATTGATGTCGCGCCCATCTCGCGGTGCCACCCCAAACTCGCGACGTGGGCCAAACCCCGCCGCCCCGCATGCGCCTGCAGTGGGAAACCGGACGCGGTGCTGCTGGCCCTTATGCCTTGCGCAGCAACGCGCTCAGATGGACGTCCCGCAAGATATATTGCGCTGCCCCGTGTGTGCCACCAGCGGGTGGGCCGACGCCGATGACGTGTGGCTCTAAGCAGCGTGTGCCGCATGAGGGATTGAGGCAGCTCCCAGGCTGCCCGCCCCTTCAACTGTGCGCCACGGCGTGGCGGATTGTATGCCATCCGCACCTTCACGTCCAATGATGCACGTGAGCCCGCGCCGCCAGCCCACGTCGTGGCGCTGTGCTGCCGACAATGATGGCGGCGTCGACTTTGTGGAGCTCCGGCGCCCATCGCAGTGCGTGGGGACGCCGGTATCTTGGCCTGGCGCTTGTCATGGGTCTGCCCACGCTGCTCACGCAGTCCATGGTGGGATGCGGCGCGTGAAGCTTTGCGCACCTCTGCCCCGGTTCCGCTCCGTCGCCTGCTCGAGGCACTGCACGATGCTGCAAGCCGGCGCGGGGTCCCGGTTCCCCGCGCATTCATTGACGCTGCGGAGGTGCTGCCGGCCGGTGCAGATGTGCACCTTGGCTGGGTCGTCCGGCACCTCACGGGCGCCGACGGTTACATCACGGCGGGCCCGCAAGAAGTGTGTTTGCACCTCTTCGGCGGCCTGGCTCTCGCTGCTGCGCTCGACGTCATTCGGACACGTTCTGCGCGCGGGTACCCGAGGCCATGCCTATTGCAGCTGCCGATCCCAATCCTACTCCGCTTGACGCCCCGCCCCCACCAACGCGCAGCACACTGGGGAAGCGCGTTGACGCAGCCCCGCGGCGGGGCCAGGGTGCGGGTGCGTGGGCGTGGCACCGCGCCTGAACCCCAGGCGGCTGCGCCCCGCACTCCCCGCACTGTCGCCGAAGCACGCGTCGATGCGGCAACCGCTGGAGTGCGGCTCGGTTTGGAGATGCTCAATCGCATCGACCTCGAAGCGGAGTTCAGGCGACGAGTGTTCACTGGCGGGGTTCGATGCGGGACTGTCCCGGCTCACGTTGGAGGAGCATGCGGGGTGCGAGGAAGAAGAGTTTCCACCCTCGCACGACAGCTTCAGGGCTTCGTTCCTCGACGGCTTGTTGGAGGCCCATGCGGAGCGCGAGACGGAGGACTCCGCGTAGTTGGCTCGGTGCGCTTTGCAAAGCTCCAGCGCCGCGCTGACGCGTTTGGCCGGGGCGAGTGGCTCACGCTCCTCCGCGACGCCTCCCTGCCGCTTGAGGCGTCCGCCGGGCGTGCGCGTGCGCCGGCTGACGCCGACGTTGAGCGGAGGGCCGCGCGAGCCGAAGCGCTCGTCCACCTTGGCGAGCTCTCCGCCGCCAGCCGCCCACTCACCGCCGAGCCGCTCGCCGTTGGTGACGAGGCCACGCTCGCTAAGCTCCGCGACCCCAGCCAAAGGCCCCAAGATCCAGCAACACTGCTGCTGTCCTGCCTGCGACGCGCACGCCGAGGCTCCGCGGCGGGGCCCTCTGGCATGACAAACGAGCACCTTCCCTTGTGCTCATAGATGAGGAGCGCGATCTAGCAGTCCTGCACAAAGCAGCCGTCTCTTTTGCTATAATGCTCGACTCCCATGCCCGTGCTGGCCGCTGTGCGGGTTGGTCGCCTCGTCGCACTGCGCAATGGTTGCACGCGCCCTGGCCCAGCACTACGCCGCTGCCTTGCAAACGGTTTGCGTGCCTTTTTTTTTGCGTGCCCTTCCAATTCGGCCTCAGCGCTCGCGCTGGCACTGAAGCGCTGTTCAAGCTGCTCCAAGTCGCCACCGAGTGCAACTCACGCACCACTGTGTTTTCTGTTGACGCCGTCGGGGCTGCCCCCCTCGGATCCGCAGCTTTTGCGCGACAGCACCTGCAGGACAAGCGCCGCCAGCACAACACCCTGCTGCAGCGCATCCCGGCGCTTACCGACTTGCAGTCGGCTTGGCTCCTCCTGCTCTGTTCTGCGGCTCGCCTCGCGCCAGCTACCTCCCCCGCATGCTTCCGCCGGACTCCACTGTCACTGCCGAGTATGCTTGGAAGCATGATCAGGCCGTTGCGGCCTGCCTCAGCACGCTGCTCTACGGAGACGCTGTCTCGCCGCTGCCGGCTGCAGCTGCTTCGGCAGGCTACGGAGGGCTTGGTCAGCCGCAGCGCCAGCCGCCTACTAGGCCAGCTCCTCGCCAGTTTGACCTCACCGCACGCCGGCATGCCCCCTGCCCTCGCAGCTGCATGCTCAGCCGCAGCCGCGGTCCGACAGGCAGGCTTCCCCACGCCGCTCTCGGGGGAGAGCTCTGCTGCACCGGCACCGCAGCTCGCACAGGCCGCCAACGAAACCTTACGTGGATGGCAACGCGCCGGTGCTTCCGCGGACCCCATGCGGCCCGTGCCTTCACAGCGTTCCCCACGTCCCCTGCCGTTGACGTGCCGTCGGCGCACCTCCGCGTGCTGCTGCTCCGGCGCCTCCGGCTCCCCTTGCCTTGTGCTCCACGCACGTGCTCCTGCCACGGACGCCTGGACCAACTCGTTCTTTAGGTTGGTACGAAATGGCTAACGCACCAAAAGACAGACTGAGCGAACTCTCTCTTTTTTCCGCTGAGGTTGCAGTGTCAGTGCAGAGTACGCAGTGTCAGTGCAGAGGGGGGCGTGCTCAAAAGGAGTCTGATGCAGAGCAGAGCGTGCTCCGCTAGATTCCCCCCCATCGGGTGTGGAGGGTGGGTGGAAAGAAATTTTGTGCCTAGGTTGCTACCTA